CTGGAAGAGGGAGTATGAGAGAGGACATGGGGTGAGGCTGAAGGAGGGTTGCTCTCTGGGCCCTGTCAGGGCTTCCCAGGATTAGGAAATGTCTGGTTCCCATGAGGGTGCCTCCCTCAGGGGCTGGGCTGGGTTGACCTCTCCCCACTTCTAGGAGGATGACAAGGAGCAAGTTTGGATCCAAACCCAGATCTGGCTTGACACGCTGACCTGAAGACAGGGAGGCCCGAGGGAGAGGAGGTGGACTAGGGGAAGCCTGGGGCTCCTGGGAACTGTGGGAGGTGCCTGGTTAGGCCACATATGCTCCGAGGCCGGGAATTTCCCCCAGAGTCACTTGGCTCTTTCCTCTCTGCCACTGGCGTCCTAGAAGCCCCAGTGTGACTGGCAGGCCCAGGGCCGCAGCGGAAACAGCTGGGAGGGAGAAAGAGGAAAACAGGAAAGACCCTGGAGGAAAAAGTCAGGAGAAACGCCTTCTAGGCCTTGTGCTTCCCAGAATGCTTTGTGAGGTCTAGGGCAAGTTCATCCTCAGCTCTGGGCCCTGGGCATTGCTGCCTTTAACTCACGCCAGGCCCTGTGACCTCTCGTTCTTTCTCTACCCTATGCATCAGGGTCTGCTTTACACTTCAGGTTATTGGTGAGGAAATAGGCAGACTGATCACGAGGTGTAAAGGCAGGGCTGCGACCTAAACCCAGGTCTGCCAGACTCCAGAGCCCACACCCTAACCCTTGCATGGCATGCAAGCTCTTGGAGGAGGGGCAAATCGTGAGTATGAGATGCTTTAGTTCACCTTAGGGTGCATAATGAATGTGAAAAGTTATGGATATCTTAAAGCTGTCCTATCCATCCGTCTTGCAGTTATTGGGAGGTAGATAGAATTAAAAACGTTTCTTAGGCCAAGCGTGGGAAGTAGGAACCGTAGGTACTGCCCCCTTATTTATTTCTTACCAAAAAATATGATTACCTATGACAATTTCAGTCAACATCACGTGCTTGGTGTGCAGTTCTCATTTAGCTATCACTAAAATCTCTTTCTCTCGTGTGCACACACCCAGTACCAAAAAGCACCTAGAATCCACCACGGGTTTTACATTCCCGAGATTGCCTCAGGCTGCGGAGACAGGAGACCGGAGACGGGGATGGAAGGAAGGGACCCAGATTCAGGGTTGCTCTTTTCCTAGTTCATTAGCTGCTCACCTTGACTTTCATTCACCTCCAGCCAAGACCCCAACTCACAGACTCACCTAATAGAGTTAGGTGGAGCTTGCTGGCTTTAGAAGTTCCACGTCCCATCAATGGGGGGGTGTGGAAATAGCACTGCTCTAGGAGCAGGAGCCGAGGCTTCTAGCCCTGAATACGAATCACAGGCCTGCTGTAAGACCTCCAGCAAGTCCTTACCCTTCTCTGGCCCTCAGAGGCTTCATCCCTATGAGAAAAAGGCCGGTCTGACCATTTCTAAACAACCCTTTAAGGCCTGGCATTTTGAGCTCTCTTAGTAGCTGGCAAGACTCTGGCATAATGCTTAAGAGCATTAAAAGTTTAGGAGCCCAGTTACCTGTTGTTGTCTAAGACCTTGGACAAGTCATCTAACACTTCAAAGCCCCAGTTTCATCTGCGAAGTGGGGATGACAGTGGCAATAACCTCAGGGTGGTTGGGAGATACCCTATTGTGTTAAAGTGCAGACCCAGCACATAGCAAAATACTCCATAAATGTACCTCTTGACATTTTTAATACACCACCTCCACTCTTCTTTAGAAACTTGATTTGGAGCATAATTAGTTATAGGTGAGTTTTTTGGTATGTTTTTTATTTCCCTCAAGTGTGGACTTAGGTCTTTCTTCAGGGCAGCCGTAGTGGAAGTGGTGCAGAGGTAAGGAGTGGCAGAAAGGAGATTGGAAAGTTTCGTGTTTTAAAACAAAACAAAATGAAAAACATAGGCCTTTGATTCTCCTCCGAGGTATGGCTTTGTGCAGGTGATTGTTGTCACTCTGGAAGAGCAAGAGGTTTCCAGCTGCCTGGGTCACTCAGCTTCTGGCTTGGACTTCTCCTTCTAGATCTGAGGGTGGCAGGGGGTGCCAGGTTAGGGGTCCGATTTCCCACTCTGCCTGGGAGCTAGGGTCCCATAGAGGATGTGGATGGTGACATGGAACTTGGAGATGGTACATTCCTGGGTTTAACAGTGAAGTTCTGTCCAGTGCTGACAACCCATGTCTATATGCCACTATCGTATTTTTTACTTTTTAACAAAAAGTGTGGGGCGCCTGGGTGGCTTAGTTGGTTAAGCGTCCGACTTTCGCTTAGGTCATGATCTCGCCGTTCGTGGGTTCGAGCCCCGCGTCGGGCTCTGTGCTGACTGCCGGCTCAGAGCCTGGAGCCTGTTTCAGTCTGTGACTCCCTCTCTCTCTGACCCTTCCCTGCTCACACTGTCTCTCTCTCTCTCTCTCCTAGAAATAAATAAAAACATTAAAAAAATTTTTTAAAAAGTTTATTTACTGAGAAAGAGAGAAAGAGAGAAAATGAGTAGGGGAGGGGCAGGGAGAGAGGGAGAGAATCCCAAGCAGACTCCTTGCTCAGCATGAGCTCTGACTCAGGGCTCAAACTCATGACTGGGGGATCATGACCTGAGCCAAAATCAAGAGTCGGACGCTCAACCAATTGAGCCACCCAGGCACCCCACTTTTGCTTTCTGTAAAATTGTCACTATAATTTCTTGAGTGCCTACTGTGTGCCAAGCTTTGGGCTTTACTTGCATGATCTCATTTATCTCCATAATCACCTTAGGGGTAAGGTACAATTATTTTCTCCATTTCTTAAGGAGGGACTAAGGCTTAGGGAGGCCACCCTGGTAGCAAGTGGCTGAGTAGGGGTTAGAACCCAATTAGTTAAATTCATAGCCTATGGTCATAATGAACATTGAGTTTGTGTAAGAAAAATCATGATACTGGAAAAACAATATGGTGCAGTGGAAAAAGTACATATGACTGGAAACCAAGGTCTTGGGTTCCAACCGTGAAGGCATCAATCAACGTATGTGGCCCTGAACAAGTCCTTTCCTACATTGAGGCCTCAGTTTACCTATCTGTCAAATACAGGATTATGAACAATGGCTAACATGGTGGGATGTTTTGAATTCAAACTAAGACTTAAAAGGATGGAAGGGGTGGGTGTGCTCATGACTCTGAAGAAGAAAATTTTCTCACACATTGTGTTAAAAATTATCCCCAAATTAGGAAATCAGGCAAAACTCTGGCCCTATGACCTTTTTATGTAGTACCGGAACACTGTCTAACAAGTCCACTTGGGGTCATCAGACACTTTAAAGCATGAAACTATTTGTCTCTCTAAGGTCAGATATTTAGAGTAAATTTCGGTGTTCATGAGAAGACTTGGGTTGAGATTAGGAAGACAGAATTCCAGGAGGAGGCAAATTGGGAAGTGTAGACAGATAGCAAGAAAAAAACCAGTTTGGGGAAGCCTAATGGGTAGTGGTGTTGCCTGAGAGCTGCTGATAACCTGTGGGGTGGAGATTCTAATCCCTCTGTATCCTTCCCCCCGACCCTCTCCACCCCCCATTTGGTGACACTCAATGGTAAACACCACTTGCCCTTTGCCAACATCTTGGCCTTTGCCAAACATCTTTGCCTTTGCATCATCCCCCCCACCTTTAAAATCAGAGTATATGAGTTCTTATTTTCATAATTAAAGTAAACCAGAATATTGTTTTGGGAATTTGATAACACTTTTGGGGAAGTTATTAAAGGCCCCCCAGAATTGGAAAACACCTTTTAGGTAAATGAAGTTACAAAGCTAGGAAGGAGAATCCTTGAATTAGGTTTATACTTGGAAAGCGGTGTGTGTGTGTGTTGATGTATGCTCACACAGTCACAGTTGAGTGACAGATCTCTCCTTCCCTAAAATGAGGGCCTGTATTAAACACCTCCCCAAATCCTTTCTGAGGATGAGGGCCTGTCAATGACGAAGTTTTCATCAGTTCCGGGGAAATGAGTCCTTTGCAATAGGTTTTTCATAAAGCTATATTTACCCCATTGAAAGGGCTGTCCTTTATTCCAAGTTTAGGTCCTTCCACTTTTTGAAATTAAAATTCTCTTTTAAGTAAAATGATGGGCTTAAAAAGAAACAGCAAAAAAGTGTTCCCACCGTTAAACCGAGCTGCTCCTTAAGGGTCTGGGAAATCCCACAGCTCCTTGGATGATCTGGCCCACTTATATGTAGGCAGGGTGGGAGGCGGGCTCTGGATTTGCCCATTTGGGTTTGAATCTTGGTTCAGCCACTTACTGTCATTTAACCTCTCTGTGGCTGTTATATTAATATATTTACGGTAAACAAGGGGCTAAAACCCATCTCACTAGGGTGGCGTGCGAAAGAAATAAGTAATGCATGCAAAGTGCTTACAATGTCTGGAACATTAAGTATGCAAAAAATCTTCTTTAGGGGTCTTCGAATTTCCGGGAGCTCTAGGAAGTTGTTAAGGAGCGCCCTGGCCCCAACTCCGGGGCCCTGAGCTCTAGCTCTGGCTCAGCTCCAGACGCTTACGTGCCTTTTGGCAAGTCCCCTCCCAGCTCCGGTCCTCGTGAGCCCCTCCGTTGCAAGGAAGGGGTGGGGTGGTCTCTGAGGCTAGTCTCCGCTCTGAAATTCCGGCCTCATCCCGGTCTCCGGGGCTTCCGGAGCGGGGACTGCGGCGAGGGGGTGCCCAAGCTCTGGAGGTCACAGTCCGAGGGGCGGGCCTGAGGGAGTGGATACCGACTGCTGCTCCACTGCGATCCGCCCCGGACCTCCCAGGGCGGCCGCTGTTTACCTCCTTTCGTCCCACCCCCGCGGCCGCGGGCCCCGCCCCGGAGGCGTAGCGCGATTGGGCGAGCGGCTTGTCAATCTCCGGGGACTTTCCCAGGGGTAGGGTGGCCCAGCCCCCCGACACTTCCTCCTCCCCGGCGCGGTCCTCCGCCCGGCCGGGAGCCTGCGGAGTTCTCGAGGGCCAGATCCCGGCCGGGGCCGATAACCTGTCCCTGGACCCGGGGCTGGCCGCGGAGAGGGGGGCGCTGCGTCCCAGACCCCCACCATCAGGTAAGCCGGCCGGGCGGAGCGAGGATGGGGCGGAAGGGAGTCCGGGACCCGGCCGTTCAGAGCCTTGGCAGTGACCCGGCACGGAGATAGGGGGAGGTCAGGCCTAGCCTGGTGGCCTGGGCTCCTCGGCTCCTAGGCCCCGGAGCGTGAGGTCCGAGCGGCCGGGGTCGGGCCGCGGCGAATCCCTGCGGGGCGCGGAGGGCGGTGGGCGCGCCTGCGCACTGCGTGGGTGATCGCCGTCTGGGAACGTCGTGCCGGCGCGTGTGGGGCGTGTAGACACGCCGGGTAGGGGGCAGTGGGCTGGCGTGGGTCTGTTTACAGTGTGCGAGACCAGCTTGGGAGCAGTGTGCACCTGTAATGAAGAGGAAAATAAGTTATGAGGCGAAGTTATTGGACGCTTTCCAAGTACTGATTTAAACCCTTTACGTGTTTTAAACTCATGTAATGGTCACGTTTTTCCTTAAAATGAGCATTATTATTATCCCTATTTTACAGTGTAGGAAACCGAGGCACTTGGAGATTGGGGTCACAAGCTAGGGAGTTGCAAAGTCAGGATTTGAACCCGGGCCTTTGGTTCCAGAGTCCCTGCTATACAGTTTCTTTCGAACACATTTTGCACACTGTTGGAAGCAGCATTTGTGTGGATTTGCAGGATAGCTGTAGTGAGTTTCCGGGTGTGATTATGGGTGTGTTTTAATGTGTGAGTGAGTTTTCCACTCACTGGAAAGAGATTGTATTTTGGTTGGGGTGGGGAGATACAGAAGAATCAGCAACATCCGTCCCCACTTTCTTGCAGAATGACAGCACAGAGAAATCTGTGGATTCCCAGTGCATCATTTTGATTTCACAACATCATCAAAATAGAATTTAATCAACATCTATTTTCCAAACAGCAAGGTGTAGTAGAGGGGAATTCAACCTCTGATGAGAGGTCAGGAAAGAGGACTCTCAGTGTTTTTTGTTTTTTGTTTTTGTTTTGTTTTGTTTTTATTCCTGACAACAGATATTGCATTAGGAGGCTAGAACATTTATTAGTACTACCTCACAGGAATCATGTGATTAATCTCCTTATTTTACAGCAGAGAGAACCGAGGCAGTGAAAAACCAATAGCGGTAATGATGACAGCGTACATTTATGAACACTTACCATGTGCCAGGCATAGTGCTTCACATTCAGTATCTCGTTTAATCTTTCTAATAGCCCTAGGAGATAGTAGCCTGCTGGTAGCTTCAATTTTCAAATGAGGAAATTGAGGCTCCAAAAGGTTAAGACTTGGCCAAGACCAGTAAGCCTTGAACAGTATAGCCCTGTTCTCTTTCTACTGACCAAGGTTTCTGTCCTGTGTCCTGGGAAAATAGTGTAATCAGGAACTGGCACTTTATGGAAGCACTTGATCATGCCTCCCTTAGAAGCTGCAGTTGTGAGTGTCCTGTATCCAATTACTTCTGTGACCCTGTTTCCCCCACCCCCAGGGTGTCCTGTGGGGACTCGTGATGCTCTCATGCTGAGGGGTGGTGCCTGCCCCTATGCCCACACCAGGTTTTTTGGGGCCCCAGGAAGCCATGGGGTCTGACTCATACCCTTCCCCCTAATGCTGCCTGTGAGTTGGGGCCCGGATGTCCTGGGGTGGATCTGGCCGACCTGATTTGAGCACCTCACAATTGTGGGAGGTCGTCTGTCTGCCTCTGTCTCTGAGTAGTGCTTGGTATTATTTCTGCTTGCATTGCAGTTTAGCCACGGCAGTCTGCTTTTCTTCCCTCCAACATACCAAGCTTGTTCTTGACTTGAGGCCTTTGTATGTGCTGTTCCTTCTGCCTGGAACACCTTTCCCCATCTCTTTGCATGGCTAGGTTCTTATCTGCCAAGGCTCAGCTCAAATGTCACCTCCTTAGAGGGGCCTTCCCTGATTGTTCTATGCAAAGTAGCCCCTTTTTTCACTTTCTGTCATATTACTGTTGTGTTTTTATACCTTCATCATGCTCTGAAACAATCTTGTTTATTTGCGAATGAGAAAGTATACGTATAGAACTTAGTGTCTAGAGTGTAATAATTTTTAGTGTTTACTTCTCTGTTGCCTTTCTCTCTTCCTGGGAGAGAAGCTGAGAGCAGGGACCACTTTAGTGCATGTGCATCCTTAAACTGGATAAGAGTGTCTGGGGTGAGGCTCTGCTGGGTTTGTTCAATGGATGCATAGAATAAAGGAAACTAGAATAATGGTGCATTTCACTGAGGCGGGGAGATGAGAAGGCACTTGTCCCAGAAGGATAGCATCAGGTGGAGAACCAGAACTTGCTCCCCAAGGGATTTTTTTCTTTCTCTGATAGTCCGCAGACTTTTCCTGACAACCCTTGTGCCCAGTGCTTGCAGAGGAGCATGCTGCTCTGGTCCATAAGGAGCTAGCTTGGCCCTCTGGGAACTTGTAGTGGAATGGGGAGAAATGTGCTCTGAGCACGTGCCCCCAAGGGCCCTGGCAGAAGTCTCACCCGAGTGCAGGGCAGTTTGGGGGCACCAGGTGGTCAGGGGGCTTCAAGGCCAGGCTCTAGAAAGACGATGAGAACACGGTGAGCTCTGAGCCCCTCTGCAGTGTAGTAGACCGGGTAGAGGATTTGGGGTAAGGCTTTGCTGGGTTGGGGGAGCTGACCACCTAGACCAGGAAAAACCCTCAAGGTCTTGGCTACCAGGCAGAGAAGTGGTGGCATCTCCCTGTTGGCAGCATTGGGAAGTGATTAGAGCAGTTGGTTGGCAGACTGCAAGTGTGCATGTGAAGCATCTGGGTGGCTTGGTAGGCACATACTGGTCTGTGTGCCCAGAGGGGCTGATCTAGCGGGTCGTGCCCATGCCTGGTGTGGTGCACTGTGGGAACCCCTGCTGGAGAGCGTGTGCTGCAGAGCTTGGCACACCTGAGAGGGTGCAGCCCCTGCCTCCTCATCTGTACGGCTCTCTGATGTGAGTGCTGCGAATTAATGGGACAGCCCAGGGCTGGTGTGGGTAAGTGATCCATCAGTGCTGGCTACTGATCCTGTTAGCAGTGATCATCATGAGGATGCTGAAGAGATTTCAGTAGATGATGGAGATGGCCTGATACTCCCTGCTTTGGGATAACCTGCCTTCACCATGCTGTGTCCTGTCTGGATGGGTCGTCCTTTGCTCTGTGTCAGATGTTCTTTCCATCCTTGCTTGGAATAGTGGACACTCACATGTCCACATGGCACATATCTGGTCTGAATTCCCTCAGCAGCACCTAGGACCCCAGCAGGTGATCCTCGAGCCTCAGTTTGACCCCCATTCTCAGGGTCAGGGGTGCACTACTACCTTGTAGGCAGCCTCTTCCCATGTTATGGGTGGTTTGCTTTGGTGCCACCCCCCCCCCCATCCCCCGGTCCAGGTTCTTGCTTTCTCACCTCCCTTTTCCCACATTGCCCACCTGACCACTTTGAGGGAGGGCGGGCATGGTGCCACGTGGGAAGAGCTTGCACAGCTGGCCCCAGAAAGCCTAGGCCAGTGTCACCACCATCCTGTGCAGCCTTGGGCAGGTCTTCTTCATTTGCGGGCTTTGGTGTTAGCTGCGAAATGAAGGGAGTCCACTGGCCAATGTCTTAGAATGTTCTCTTTCAGCCCGAAAAACTCTGCAGCCCAGTGACAGGGCTGCCTGCCCTCTCTCAGGCTATTCCTGCTGGGCTGGGCTTTGCTGTGCCCACCCTGACGCTTCTCCTTGCTGCACCCCTGCCTGCCCGAAGTGCCTGCTTCTCTTCGCCCTGTTCCTCTTTGAAGGGAGGGTGTCTGGGGCCCTCTGGAGAGTTCCCACAAAGGGGACTCAGGGAAGCAGGGAGCAGCCCCCCTGGTTCCGCAGAGCAGAGCTCCCCAACCTCCAGAGACTGATCTTGGCGGCCACCGTGGTCAGTTAGTTGCAGGAAGTTTTTGATGTTTTTCCCCCATGACTGGCCTAGGACAGTCACTCTTTTGAAAGGAACAGATGACTGGCCTGAGGAACAGCTGGCTCTTTGTCCCCAAGCAGGGCTGAGCTCCTCTCTCCCCAGGGACCTCACCCTGAAGCCGTTGCCTGTGTTCTTGAACACCTACAGGGTGGACAAACCGGGTGGCCCGGCAGATATGTGTGTGGGGGAAGGGCGGGGGTGCTGTAGGAGTTGTGTCACCAAGGAGTCATACTTAGAGGCCAGAGCTGGTATTTTTAGGGCGGGTGTGGGGGGTGTCCCATGAGTCAGGGGCCTTTGGTTTGGTCTCCACCCACACCGGAGAGTACTCGCTCCACTTTCCACTGACTGACAGGCCATCGTCCTCTGCCTTCATCGTGGCCAGCTTCATCAGTGGTCCCTCCGGTCCCACTTCTGCCTCTGCACGTGCTCCCCCACCCCCTGGGAAGAAGGCCAGAGGTCTAAACATTGGCAACACTGACACTTAGAAAATAGGAAGGGATCTTTCAGACACAGAAGGTAAGGTGCACCCTGGGCGCCCACCCATCAGGCTAAAGGGATCCAGATCCCGTACACCTGAGATTTCTCTTTGATCATCCCCTTTCTGGAAGTAGCAAGAGTTCTGACTGAGGGTTTATTCTCTTATATTTCTCTATAGTTTTAGTATAAATATATACATCCTTAAACAATATGTAGTAATTTCATATGTTTAAAAATGCTATTCAGATGTTATCATACTGTCCCTATGCATTGTTTTGCCTAATACTGTGTTTTGCCTACATTGTGTTTGTGAGATTTATTCGTGTTTGCGTCTCTGGCCGCAGTCCATTCATTTTCACGGCTGTATTCTATTCCCTAGTATGAATTTGGCCCAATGTATTCCTTTTCTTCTTCATTAGGTAGCTTCCAGCCAAGGCTGGGAACCTCACTTAGCCCAGAAGGAGTGCCTCAACTATCAGCCATGGGGACAAGGGGCATGTCCTTTGGCTCTTATTGGAGTGGTCTCACCCCTGTCCAGCTGTCCCCTTCCTAGTCACTATGGCTTCTGCTGGGGTTGCACTTTAAGG